GCATCCGAAGTGGCTCAAGGGGGCTTCGTGACAATAAAGACCACACAAAGACAGCTAGACGAGGCCCAACACCAACACGACCCCCAAACCTTACGGCACGCGATTGACCGACAGCCCAAAAGAAGCACCACCGGACCAACGAAACGCGGTTCCTCCCCCCTCCCCCGTTGCGTACCTATTTTAGCCTCCTAACCTCGTCCCGTCAATGCCATGCTGCCTCCATGCGCTCTGCCTCAATGCGGCCGCATGGCCCAGCCCTTTCGCCATGCGGGCTACAGTAGTCCGTCGGTCGAGCCAGCAGGAGCTACGAGTAGCCAGCTGGCAGGGGAGAATGTCGAGGCTGTTGGGCTGTTGGGCTGCTGGGCTGTTGGGCCAGTGGGAAGGCTACCTGCAGCAAGCGGTATCACCCCACGCAGCGGTCGACCTTGTCGTACATGATGGAGATGCACGCGCCTCACTATCGCAACCCTTATGTACCGTCTTTGCTCAGAAAGGCAGAATGGTCGGCGGCGGAATGTGACAATGCAAGGGATGTTAGTGTGGTGTCCTCGCCCAATTTACCAAATAATCTCTACGAGTGTTGTTCAGCGTGGGACACATGTTCCACAAGAAACACGAGGCAGCTGGATGGCTGGACCGTGACGCCCGGTTGAGGTGCGGTGGCTCGACTGCCGCTAAAGTCATCCAATGTCGACCATGGCTCCAGCCGAGATTTGATGTGCTGTCGGTATGCGGTTCTCCCGCAGGTCTGTCGGGGAGGCTGACAGCGTCTACTGCCTCTTGTCGTTCGGAGGCCATTCACAGAAGCCAAGGCGCACTATGCTCGGTGCCATCTAGTTCATCATGTTGATTGTCCCCGTGCGATGGCCATGCTGGGAATTGTCCCCGTGTGATAGCCATGTTGACATGGCAAGCACCCCGGCTACAGTGATCTGCTTCCACAAGATGGCATGGCGGAGGCAGCACCGAGACGACGGCACGCGACAATGAAAGCCTTCGCTTCCAGGAAGCATCCCTTTCGCCTGCGACATGATCTGCCCATGCTGGGTTCCATCGCCTCGTGCTTATCATCGTTGGTGCCGTTACGGGCATCCATGACATGGAGGCAGCGGTCAGCATCTTGCGAGGTACGTCTCTGGAGGCCACATGATGTCGACCTGATCGTTCGTTCTCGATGACACATGGTGCTTTCCTGTCCTCGGTGAAGCGTGAAAACCAAAGTTCGGAGTCAATCGTTTCCCCCATGCAAAGCCAGCCCCTCGATCTCGAGGGTCAATGTAACCCGGGGAGATTGGTGCCAAGATGAGTCCAAATCAGAAACAGCGGTTGACAAAATCAGGACATATCATGACTCAAGCTGCACAAACGATACAGAATCGCCTCATGTCTGATCTGGGTCCCCAGACAATTGGTAGGATAGAGTTGAATTTTACCCTGGTAGATGGACAGTCTGATCGACGTCCCTGCCGATGATTGTGACGGGGGAATGAACACGAGTGCGCACAGACCTCGACCAAGGCTGTAGGGCAGTGGTCTGTGCAGAAACGTCTTGGGAGTACTGGTCCACAGCGAACGTAGGCAGTCATATGAGCAGAGAGGTAACTCCTCAATACCCATCTGGCACAAGATCGTCGTCGCCATTTTCACGAATCAGGGCAGATACGAAATTCAGGGGCAGCTCGAGTTTCATCTGGAATCACTTCATCACTACATCACTGCAGAAGAATCAACTGAGCGACGACCGCCGTGGGAAGCACGGTCCGAGGATTCCCAGGACCACTCGGCCGCCATCAGCTTAACCTGGCACCGGAAAAACATTCCATACACAACTGCCACCATGGACACCGATCATATCGATGAGCTTCTAGAGCGCTACCTCGGTCTTCTGGACCAGTACACGAACCTCCGCGCCGCCCTCAACGAAGCCCAGTCCGCCGTGTACCAGAACCTGGCGCGCGCCAACTTCTCCGCAGAGCGCGGCGTGCGGTACGGCCCGGACTACTACGACGAGCGGATGCAGGCCACGCGCGTGCTGGCTGTCGAGGGCCCAGACAGCGACGCGCCGCGCTTCTCCTCCCTCCTCGTCAATGAGCCCGAGGCCAAGCCCAAGCCCGCGCCGGAGCAAGAGGCCGAGCCGGCGGACGAGCACGAGGCCTCGACTGAGACGCAGGCAGAGGAGAAGACGACCAGGCCGCGCCCCAGGGACCCGCTGCGCTGGTTCGGCATCCTGGCACCCATGCCGCTGCGGCAGGCGCAGGCGCAGGCCGTCCGTGCGGTAGAGGATGTTGTGCCGCAGCTCGTGACGGTGGATGCGGAGATGAAGGGCCTGGAGATTCAGATTCGCAGGGCTCGGAAGAAGAGAGCCAAGGCGGAGATCGCCGTGCAGAGGACCGGGGCCGCATCTGGAGTCCCGGTGGAGGCTACGTGAGGCACGGGTAGGCATGTCAGTGCCGATCTGGGGTTAAGCATCAACGCCATGGTTGTTCATGAATTCATCAGCCTAGACTTTTGCAAATTTTCGTTCTTGGGACGAACAATCCAATAGCGTTTCGCCTCGAGGATATGCTGGAACTACATTTCCCAGACAAGAAGAGAACATCATGTGATTGTTCGACAGACGAACTCGCTTGTCACCGTGTTCGGCTTAGCAGCCGTGAAATTGCATCAAGACGCAACGTAGTGTGTGCACCCAGAAGTAGCATCAAGGCCTCTCGCCCGCCATTGGAGCCCTCGAAGCTGTAGCAGCTAGCCCATATCCAGTGTCTGGTGAGACTGAATATCGCAGCAAGGCTCATCATAGCGACTCGAGCGTGACTACCACATCATCCAGAGATTCTCTCAGAGACCCATCTCCCTCATCGACCTGGTCCCTCAAGTGACGCGCAATCTCGACAATGGCAGCCGTCGAGTGAACGTAGCGCTTCCGCATACCCTCATGCGCGTTCGTCAGCAGCGAAGTAGCCAGCTGCAACACTGCCGCCTCCATCTCCAGGTCCACGAGCGGCTGCGCTCCATCCGGAGGCGCCCATGCTGCGATCGCCGTGACCAGGCCCATCCAGTCCTCCTCCGTGCCGTTTTCTTCCGCCTCGGAAAAGGGGAGCAGAATGCGTACAATCTCCATGCCACGAGACGATTCCCGGTCGTCTCGCGCAGAAGGTACGCCCTGCAGGATCTTGACGAGATCGTGGCTGAGAATCTTCCACCCGCCGTTCGCCCCAAAGGCATCGACGCCCTTGTTCTCGAAAACGACACCCTCGAGGGCGACGAGGATGGGAGACCGAAAGTCGAGTCGCTCGGGGGCGCTGGCCTGGTAGAGGTCCATGAACATGTCCGTCAGGCCGGCAGCCTCTTTCCGCAGGAGCTTGTTGTCGTCTTCGCGGAGCCAGATGGCGAGGGCGCGGATTTCGGCGAGGATGAGAGGATCGTTGTCGATGACGTCCTTGGAAGAATCCCAGGTGATGGGCAGTGTGTCTTGCCACTGGTCCGGAGCGTTCGGGCGAGCATCGGGATGCAGGCCCATTGCGCCGGCGACGGAAGCATCATACCGATCGCGGAGGAACTCGATGACCAGTGACATGGTTTCGGAGATACTTGTGCGCAGTTTGAGCAGGTATTCCGCCGGCATGAGGGATGGGTCGTCTTGCCCGTCGGCCGTGGCATCCATGGCTCTGATCAGATAGCCAACGAAGTGGGTAATGATATCAAAGGCGGATCCTAGTCTTTTGGCAGTGTCCGGATAGCTGGGATCGTTGAGGAGCGAGAGAAGCCGAGGTGTTACTGCTCGTATTTCTGTGAGCACAAGAGTGATAAAGAGGTACGCAAAGGGTCGGTCCGCCTTGATATCATTTGTGAAAAGGAGGCGTGACGCCTCAGTAGGGTACACCTCAAGCAGCGAGGCAGAGACTAGCGTATATGAATTCCTGGCTTCAGGATTCGGTTTATTTGTGAGTAGATCTCGGGTATAATTCACGATTGGCTTAATCCAAGTAGGATTGAGTGGAAGGCCCTGCGAAATGTCAGCCACTTGCACCTTGAAGCAGCATTTGGTCCGACGTACTTCGGGATGCGACCTCCTGAGAAAGTTGCCCAGGAAGCGCAGAAGAGTCACGCCATCAGTGCCCTTGAATGATGATACAAGGCCCTTAATACTTTCGTCGATAACTGGCCGCAGTGATGTTCGGTTCGTACTCCCTGCCATGCAATTGATCCACGCCAAGTCAAAGACTTCGAGGGCCAGGGGCTGACTGGGGGCAATCTCGATCAAGGGGCTGGGATCTTCTATGGCTATAAAAGACTTGGCGCCTTCTGGGAAGGCCATGAGCTCGAGCAGAGTCTGGATAATGAGCTGCGTCGTCTCTTCGGAACTGTCCAACATTGCATGTCAATGGATGCGCCACGTATGTCTAGACAGTAGACTTTACCTGCGCAAAACTGTAGCAACTAGGACCGGTATCCTGCCTACCAGTTTCTTGTCTCGCTTCGATTCCTCAGGGAGCAGCTGTGTGAATTTATGAATGACCAGCACGCCCAGGTCGAGCGTAGACTGCTGGTCGTTCTGACTACCCTTTGACTTCAGGAGACGATCAAGAAACTTAGGAGATATTGCATCCCATAATGATGAGATAATTGCTTCGTCGTCTTTGAGCTCTGAAGAAGAATCAAGAAATGTTCTGAGCATCGTCAACCCGACGAATCTTGACGTATCATCCTTTCGTTTCAATGATGCCCGGATGTTATCCAAAATCGAAACATTTGTGTTGGTGTCGGACTGGGGTGCTTGGGGGTCCACCGGCCCTTTGGCGTCAGCAGACGCTTCTGCCATCTCTATTGACACCAAACCACACAGAATACAGAATGGTTCGGATGTCAATACAGGTAGCTTCCTCGTCGAACGCTGTAGACTTGAAAGACGCTTCGTGATGAACGATGCGATGAGGCTTCCAGAGGCGTCGCCGAGTCAGAAAAGAGGCTAGCGCCGGCATTGGGTGCAAGCGCCACACATGTGGCTCGAGCTTGACCCCCTGCGGATGCACCACTGCCTACTGTCTCGTCATCAAGCACTTGCTTCAAGGCCGCCGCGATCCTCGATTGCGACAGGCACCACAACCTTGGATCAATGCCGCCAGCCTCGAAACATGGCTGGCCCGTACGGAAACAACACAGCCGCCTCATCATCCTCGCGCTCTCCCGATCGAACCGCTCAACCGCACTCGAATCCAGACGACAGCGACGAGTTGGACGACCTGTTCGACGACGGCAATGACGACGATCGCCATGTCCTGGCACAGGACCCGATTCAAGGAAGCTTAGAGGGACCGATATCATTCAAGAGGAAACAGAAGCAAGGCATATTCTCTGCGCCCGCGCGCTTTCTGTCCTCCCTGACCGGACGACCAGGGAACGATACGGCCAATGCGACACCGAGGTCAACGACCCCCCGACCAAGCTTCATGCTCGACGGCTTTGCCTCGACTGGCGCAGACGAGGATATCAGAGAGGCTTTCAACCGACCTGCGAAAGATGCCTCGCCAACCGACTGGTACCACGAGGGCCCTGGGCGGAGAGTGGGCTACGAAGACATGACGGCGATCGACTGGATCTTTGAATACACCAAGGAGCGCCAGCGCTTGCGCGTGCTTCACTCGAGCGCCCACGGTCTCATGGGGCTCTTCCGGCGATTCGCGGACGCGAGCCAGGTCTGGCTCATCTTGATCCTCACCGGTCTAGCCGTGGGCACTGTCGCTGCGGGCATCGACGTCACCACGGACTGGCTAGGTGATCTCAAGACGGGCTATTGCTCCAGCGGCCCCGAAGGCGGAGCCTTCCATCTCAACAAGGCTTTCTGCTGCTGGGGGTATGACGAGTCCTCGAAATGCGCCGGTTGGACTCCCTGGGCCAAGGCGCTTGGCGTGGCGTCCAAGGGCGGGGCTTGGATCATAGAGTACATTGTGTTTCTCATCTTTTCAGTCCGTGACTCTTTGCGTAGATCATGTGGCCCTGCTCCGACTAACTCGAGCACAGGTATTTCTTGCCTTTTCAGCGGCCGTTCTGGTCCAGGAGTATGGTATTTATGCCAGGCATAGCGGTATACCCGAGATCAAGACGGTTTTGGGCGGCTTCGTTATTCGCAGGTTCTTGGGTGGATGGACTTTGGTGACAAAATCTTTGGGCTTGGTTCGTCTTCACTATACTGCTTTCTCTCCTCATTAGACTAACAGCTGTGAAGTGTCTTGCCGTGGCCTCTGGGATGTGGCTGGGCAAGGAAGGCCCCCTGGTCCACGTTGCGTGCTGTTGCGCGAATCTGTTTATTAAGCTGTTCAGCAACATCAATGACAACGAGGGTAAGTTACAATTACTTCATTTGGAACGGCACCTCCTGACATGTATATACCTCAGCTCGAAAAAGAGAAGTTCTCTCTGCTGCTGCGGCATCTGGAATCTCGGTTGCGTTTGGTTCGCCCATTGGTGGCGTGTTATTCTGTCTCGAGGTACGTCATCTCTAGTCTGACACGTCTGACGGACACCGGCATTGACGACGGATAGCAAATATCCTACTACTTCCCGGACAAGACAATGTGGCAGAGTTTTGTCTGCGCCATGACTGCCGCTGTCATGCTTCAGGCTCTCGACCCCTTCCGCACCGGAAAGCTTGTCTTGTACGAGGCTGAGGTCAGCACAGAGTGGACGGATTTCGAAATCATCCCTTATGCCATCCTTGGTATCATTGGCGTACGTACTTGGACGAGGCCCTAAATCAAATGTTTTTGCTGACATTCTCAGGGTATCTACGGCGGCCTTTTCATCAAGGCTAACATGGCCGTGGCCCGTTGGAAGAAGAGGTCGACATGGCTCCCTGGACCCATTGTCCAGGTTATTGCCGTTGCGCTTCTCACAGCCCTGGTCAACTTTCCCAATTTCTACATGAAGATCCAGTCTTCTGAACTAGTGTCTAACCTCTTCGTCGAATGTGGAAAACACTCTGAAGACAAGATAGGCCTCTGCAAGACAGGCGCGGCCTCTGCCAGCACCATTGTCCTGCTCCTGTTCGCTGCTATTCTTGGCTTCCTTCTCGCGGCCATCACATTCGGCCTGCAACTTCCTGCCGGCATCATCTTGCCTTCAATGGCCATTGGTGCCTTGACCGGCCGGGCCGTTGGCATTATCATGGAGATCTGGGTCAAGAACCACCCCAACTTCTTTGCCTTTGGTTCCTGTGCACCCGACATACCTTGTATTACGCCAGCGACGTACGCCGTGGTTGGCGCGGCGGCTACCCTCGCAGGCGTCACCCGGATGACCGTGTCCATTGTCGTCATCATGTTCGAGCTCACTGGCGCCTTGACATATGTCCTGCCGATGATGGTGGCCGTCATGATCTCGAAGTGGGTAGGTGACGCGTTCTCTCGCCGCGGCATCTACGAGTCCTGGATTCACTTCAACGAATACCCCTTCCTCGACAACTCGGACGCCGAGACGGCGCAGATCCCCGACATCCCGGCCGCACAGGTCATGACCCGCATCGAAGACCTCGTCGTCCTCACGGCGACCGGCCACACCATTGCATCGCTAACGGCCATTCTCGACGCCAACCCGCACCGCGGCTTCCCCGTCATCTCAGACCCCCGCGAGGCCATCCTCCTCGGGTACATCTCCCGCGCCGAACTCTCCTACAACCTCCGCTCCTCGGCCCAGCCCCCTCGCTCCCTGCCGCCCGAGACGGAGGCCTTCTTCACCCACCAGCCCATGGCCGACCCGAGCGCCACGCTCGACCTCCGCCCCTGGATGGACCAGACGCCCATCACCCTGCCGTCGCGCGCGAACCTGCACCTCGTCGTGTCGTACTTTCAAAAGCTGGGGCTGCGCTACGTCCTCTTCGCCGACAGAGGCGTGCTGCAGGGCCTGCTCACCAAGAAGGACGTGTGGTACGTCCTCAACGGGGCGGACGAGACGAGGCGCACGGCCGGCACGTCTGGCCGCGACGGCACCGTGGAGACTGGCATCGCCAGGGAGGACGGCGACGGCGAGGCCCAGGGCTTGCTGCGAGAGCGGAGCGGGAGCGAAGCCATGAGTCCTGCGCATGAGCGGGGGCCCATGCTGTGATGATATTTCTGTGTACATCTGATAGACGGTGCTAGTGCCACGACCAATATGATTTTTCTGCCTCGCGTTATGTGTTGTTCATTTTCTTGCCTATTTTCGCGGTCAGCTGGTGACTACTGCGGTTCGGGAGCTGCAATCACTATTTGCTTGTAAGTTGAAGGGGAGGGAGACGCCTAGCGAGTCCGTTGTTGGACTGCGCCAAGCGTCGCAGTAGTATTTCAATCTTCGAAACAGCTACAAGGGTGGCAACAAGAAAGGGGCGCTGCCATTCTCAACACTTGGATTCACAACATCAGTCATACCCAGGAGATAGTTGTCAGAAAATAAATTGGACAATCCTCACCAGTCGACGGTGCTATTCTCATAAAAACGCCTCGCGCCTAGACCTCCAGCAATGCAGCCGCCTCCCGTCATGTAGATATGGCAAACAGTAGCAACAACCTGTAGCGTCTCCATACACCTCCTGCACCACCTCCCATCTTCCACAGGCGATTCCCCTTCAACACTCGACGACTAGTACTCAAAGTCATCATCGACAGCTGGCCCCTTGCTCTTGGCCACAGATTCCTGCTTTCGGTACATCTCGGCCACTTGACGGCTGCTCGTCGCCTCGTCCGGCTTCTTGTCATCGCGAATCTTGATGAAACGCGGGAAGCGGAGCGAGATGCCCTTCTCGCCCGACGGATCGACGCCCTCCTTGGCGCCGGCCTTGTAGCGCGGGCTGAGCGTCAGATCCGCCGTCTTGACCTCCCAGACATAGCGGGGCTCGAACCAAACATCAGGCTGGTGCTGGCCGCCGGCCGAGTGGGAGTAGAAGGGCTTCGGGCGGTCAATGACAATCTCGGACAGCTGCTTGTGAAGCTCCTCGAGCACGGCCTCTGAGAAGCCGGTGCCAATGTTGCAGACCGTTTCGTAGACCTCGCCGGATGGGTTGTAGCAGGCGAGGAGGAAGGCTCCGTAGACGGACGTGCGTTTGCCTTTGCCGTGGTACGCACCCAGAACAACGAGATCGAGCGAGTCGCCAATGCCGGCGAGATAGTCCTTCTTGATCTAGTGCGGGTTAGTTTTTCTGTCAAGACATGTGCTCGGGGCAGGGGGGTTTTGCTTACCTTGAGCCAGTTGCGACTCCTTTTGCTGGGCTCGTATCCGCTCTCTGTGCCGTCCAACATCTTGACCATAAGACCCTCACAGGAAGCCTTGACACTCTCGTCCAGGAACTCTTGGATCTGCTCGAGCTCCTGGCCATCCATAGATGTGGCGAGCGAGAACTCGCCCTCCACAGGTGCAAAGGCCTCGACCATCAGATCACGACGATGACGGAGAGACTTCTCAACCAGAGCCTCGCCGTTGAGGTAGAGCAGATCAAACGCAAACACGCACACCTTGACCTTGACGTCATCAATCTTGACGTCCTTCTTCTTCCGCGTCATCAACTGCTGGAACGGAAGAACCTTCTTCTCCACAACGTCCCAAGCAACAGTTTCGCAGTCGAGAACGAAGCTCTTGGTGTCGGGCTTGACCCAAGTATGGAGCTTGGCGAGAATGTCGGGATACTTCTTGGACAGATCTTCTGAGTTCCTGGAGAATATGTTGGCGACACCGTTGGCTGCCTCCTTCGTTGCGCCGGGCATGGACTGGCTGAGCTCCTCATCCGCAGACTTGGCAACGTAGTGAATCTGAGCCCGCTCACCGTCGTACTTGTATTCGCAGGTAAATGTCTGGTTCTCGAAGCGATCCAGGACTTCGGTGATAGCTTTCGTGGGCTTGGCCAACATGGGCTTCAAAGGCACACCAGGCTTCAGTTTGCAGTGTTCGCGGAGGTTCATGATGCCGTGCTCAACCATGGCGGGGATGATCACATCGTAGCTGGGGAGCTCGCTAGGTTTGGTCAGTAGTTGAAGCTGGGAAGAATCGGTCGAGGTCCTTACCTGTAAACCGTCTTGAGCATGGCCTCGGCCTTTTCGACATCCTCGGGGCTCGCAACAAGATCCTTGACAGAAGCCTCGTGGTTCACGACAGCCTGAGCCAGGGAGACCAGAACAGTCCTTTCAGCCAGGCCGAGACGAAGCTTGCCCTCGAGGAAGCGGATCAAGAACTTGGCCTCGCTCGGTCCGCCCTTGTCCTTGGAGATATCCACCTTTCCACCCGCTGCGTCTGCGGATGAGAGAAGCTTCTTGATTCCATCAACTTTGCGGCCTTGCGCACCGTTGCCCGTCACCGTCGCGATACCCATGAGACCCTTGTGCACGCCCCGCACAGTGAGAGGCTTGGGCTTGAACATGGTAGGTTGAGTGGACCTGCTCTTCACGGCCACGAGACCAAGATCACCAATTTCCTTCTGGTCCTGCTTGATGATCTGAAGGGTACGGCCTGTCGACTCGCCAATGGCCTTCATGATGAGAGATTCTCCAATGCCCAGTTCAATGCCCGCGTAATCTGGCGCAAGTTTGTTGATCATGAGGAGGACTGTGGGGAGCAGGTCGTCGGGTGTGAGACGCAAGACCTGACGGAGGAACTTTGAGCAATGCGCCATGATTTCCAGTCGCTTTGTTGTGAGCTCGACCAGTGAGAAAGTCTTGCAGAGCGCGGCATACGGTACGGGATCGCCCTTGTTCCAATCTGGATACGGGTCTTTCGTCTGGGCTGTCAGGGCTCCCAGCAACTGTGCAGCCGACTTGCCGCCCTTTGCAGCCTTGCCTTTGCCTTTGGCCTTGAGGACCGTCTTGGCGGCGTCCCCAGCATCCTCGGCTCCAGAACCTGCGGAAGATTCGCCGTCCAGATCATCCTCGACCGAGCCCACAGACTCTACATCAGAATCTTCTGACGCTTGTACCGGGGTCGGGGAGGCCTTCGCACGCTTGGGCGAAGGTGACCTGGACTTGGAAGCTCGCTTGCTCTTCTTGGGGCTCTTCTTCGGGCTCGGTTTAGGAGCCGGCACTTCCTCCATGCCCTCGTCCTCGTCGTCCTCAATGCGATTGCGGTTCCGTCTCGCACGCTTCACAACCGGGGCGTCGTCCTCATCCGCAGAGACCTCTTCTGTTTTGACGGTCCTGTTGGAGGACTTGCCATCTTCGTCATCGCCTGCATGCGCTCGCTTCTTCGAATCTGGACAACAACACCAGTCAGCCCAACACAACCCCGAGAAGGATCACTGGGAGAAGAGAAAAAACGGACCTTTCTTAGCTCCATCCTCCTCCTTGACACCCGCAGACGCAGCGCCATTCTCCTTGTCAGCAACCCCGTCCCGCTCAGCCTTGACCTCCTTCTTAGGCGCCGGCCTCGCCGCAAAGCTCAGCTTGCTCTGCTGCGGCTTCGCCTTGGTCCCATCCTGGCCGCCAAAGAACTTGCTGCGCAATTGTCAGCGAACCCAGCCCACAGCAGCCCCGACGCACCATGCATTCGGGGGAAGGTTTGTGGTGGCGAAGGGGAGACGCCGTGTCTGTCTACACACCCCAGCGTCGTCTGCGAGGACCGGACGTACCCCAGCGTAGCTTGCTTCGGCGCCATGGCGAGCGCTCTTCGGTTCGCGGCGGCGACGAGTGTGGAGAGGAAGAGACGAGGCGGTCGGGAGAGCAGACGGTGCGCCACGGTGACGGCTTGCTTTTTGAACGGGCCTGGAGGCTGGTCTAGGCAGCCAACGTGCAACTTGAGGGACCAGAGGGGCGGCGGTGCCAGAGGTGGGATCAGAGGTTCACTGCGGCGGCGGCGGGAGGGAGGTAGGATCGTCTGGGCCGAGCATGACGCGCTTTCGGTAGGCAGCATCGCGTTAATTGAGTTGGGTCCAGACGCGAACTGAGACCCTCTTAGCTGCATATCACTTTCAGGGACCTAACCAGGTACCTACCTAAGGTACCTAAACCAGGTACCTACCTAAGGTACCTTACCTAGGTAACCTGGCTTGCCTGGGCCCCCTCAGCCCTGTGAGAGGTACAAGGTACTTTTTTTTTTTAAAAGGCGGCTCTAGCATGACTGGGTGCCTCAGGAACGACAGAATTGGACATGTACGAATGGAGCATCTCACGCGACAGAAAGAAATTCATATTTGATAGCAGGATTCCGTCCCGTCTCAATCATGTTCAATTCGATCCGAATTGCCTTTAACTAGCAGGTAATATACAAACGAGGAACAGGGTTCGGTTCGGCCAGTTACAACGATTAGGTGTCACGCCAAAGGACTGGGCCCCCTCGGAGGAGGTCGCGGTGTTTTCTTTAGTTGAAGTAGAAGGCCTCGTCGGGGGTGCGGCCACGGATGAACTGGGGCTCGGAGCCGCGGACGTAGATGTCCTCGAAGAGGATCTTGGGGGTGGCCTCGGGAACGGCCATGGCCTCGGCGATGGCGACCTCCTCGTTGACGTGGCTGCGGGCCTCCTTGTCAATGGCCTTGAGCTCGTCCTCGGTGACGACGCCCCAGTCGAGAATCTTCTGCTTGAGGCCGGCAATGGGGTCGTTGGTCGACCTCATGCGCTGGATCTCCTCACGGGTGCGGTACGTGGTGCCGGGGTCGGACATGCTGTGGCCACCGTACCGGTAGGTGACGTACTCGAGGACAAGAGGGCCGTTCTCGGCCTGGGTGTACTCCTTGCCGTACTTGACAGCGGCGCGGACAGCGAGGGCGTCCATGCCGTTGACCTTGAGACCGGGGATGTACTGGCCACGCTTGTAGTAGTCCGTGAGGGCCGAAGACCGGTTGGCGGCAGTGCCCATACCGTACTTGTTGTCTGCGGAAGTGTCAGCCGTCATTGCTCCATGCAGCCCTTTAGAAGAATCAGAAAAACAAGATGCAACTTACTCTCGCAGCCGAACAGAGCAGGGAGGTTCCACAGCTTGGCCATGTTGAAGGCCTCAAAGACCTGACCCTGGTTGCTGGCGCCGTCACCGTAGAGGATGACACTGGCGTTCTTGCGACCATTGTACTTGTGGGCGAAAGCGAGACCGGCACCGACGGGCACCTGGGCACCGACAATGCCGTTGCCGCCGTAGAAGTTCTTGGCGAACATGTG